AGATATAATCCATAACTCTTCATTGCGTTAACCCGAAAGTTGTTTTTTGATTGTCTATTCTTTTAATCCATTTTTCTACTTTACAGCTTTGTGAACTGAATATAATTGGATACAAGTTCATGGTACTCAGTGATGGATTTGTTGTTCGACGTGGATTTACAACTGAGATTAAACCACTGGAAATGGGCATTGAAAATCCACAGACTAAGTCACAATTCAAAGAGCTGGAACAAATATTGAAAGAACGTCACCCATCCTCACAAAACACATGTTTTTAGACTATTTTATTTATCTATACTTTTGATAACAGGCAAGAATAGTATCTATTTTACTGACCAGCTGGTTATCAGCAGGTACTTGAACTTGGCTGTCTTTTCTGGACCAAATATTGTGGTAGTATCGATTATTCATATACCTATACCATATAGAGTACGAAATGAGGTAAGATGTTGCACACAATGGGTGTTTGATGCCTCCACTGTGAAATGAAATTGGCCCCAGAACTAGCATTTCGCCATTGAAGGGCCAAGTCCAGGATCTGGATGTTTAAAATACAATAAAGTTTCAAATACATATAGAATGGCAAGACGAAAAATACAAATGAATACATAGTGAAAACATAATAAAATCAAATAAAAACGAAGAACAAGAAATTGTTAGAAAAAAACAAGTGACAGTGACAGTGTCGATTCTAATCAGCTGTAGCCACGTTTGTTTCAAGATGGATGCCATTATGGTGAATCTACTTTTACTTAAACCATATCATAGTTGAAGGGAAAGGTATGATTTCCATCAATACTTTTTTCACAGCGAACAATACATTTATGTAGTGGCAGTTATTTGTATAAAATCTAAAATTATAGAAGATGATTACATGTTTAGTGTTGCACACTGGTCTCTACACTAATATTTCCAATTTAATCAAAACAAACAAACAAACAAACAAGCATAATTTATTTATTCCTCATCTGCAAATATCTGTTGACAAATTGTCACTTAAAATGAGAAATTATTTTCACATTATGGTGAATCTACTTTTACTTAAACCATATCATAGTTGAAGGGAAAGGTATGATTTCATCAATACTTTTTTCACGGCGAACAATACATGAATGTAGTGGCAGTTGTTTGTATAAAATCTAAAATTATAGAAGATGATTACATGATTAGTGTTGCACACTGGTCTCTACACTAATATTTCCAATTTAATCAAAACAAACAAACAAACAAGCATAATTTATTTATTCCTCATCTGCAAATATCTGTTGACAAATTGTCACTTAAAATGAGAAATTATTTTCACATTTTCACATTTTTAATTACAAATTAATCTCTTAATAAAAAGAGAATTTCTTTAAAATTAATAATCTTGGGTGGTCACTATAAGGTTTAACATACAAAATACCAGGAATAATACATAAACAACTTGAATAAAAAGACCAAGTTTCAATCACCAGGTATTTTTTTCTTCATTCAATTTTTTTGCATCTAGAAATATTTTTTCATCTTCTTTGTAGTCTTCATAATTTTTATCTTGTTTGGAATCGTATCCAACTTTTTAAACATTCGCTTTGAAAGTTGATAGCGTGATATGTTACATTCTGTGTTTGGTTGAAGTTGGTCATTGTTAAACAAAAATGGAGACTTTATTTGTTGCATGATTAAAATGAAAAAAAAAAAAAATAATTACCTGCATGTTAATTCCTGGGATGGTTGGAATACATCAAGGGACCATAATTATGAACTTTTTTTATAGATACATATTCCAGTCTTCCATTGAAGTGAATTCTGTTTCTTTTAAGTGATTATTTATGCATATTTACAGTTCTTATATGGACTGTATAAATGGTACATAGATGCATATTTCATCTGATTTGGGTTGTACATTTCTAATAAGCAATATTTTTCCTTCAATTTCAAGGTTATTTTGGTATTCCAAAGTAGTTGTTATAAAGTACTGAATAATTAATTACCAGTATTAAGAGTTGGTGGTATTTGGGGGAGACTTAATTAAACAAAGTTTAAATGCTTTATCATCTCTATAAAGAAGTTACGGTAGTTACACTATATTACAACATGTGTATTATTATTATCATCGAATATAAATGAAGCAGTATAAAATAAACTTTGTTATATCTTTTTTCAACAATTGCTTTCTGTTTAGTATTTGTCAGTACATGTTGAACCAACATTCATTAATCTCCTATAAAATATCTTTATCATTACTAAACACTGAAGAGTTGAAGGACGGCAGTCGCCGCGCAGCGTCCTGTTCGATATGGGACTCATAGCGACGTATACAATTTATTTACATGAAATACGAACACTCACTGCGTGGCGATCACCACGCTTAAAGTTTGACAGCATGTCTGAGTTACTGTTGTTAATAAAGAATGCTTGTCATCATGACGCATTGTTTTTGATATGGGTATTTGTTGCATGTAAATTACTTTTATTATGATATTTAAGATAAAGCAATTCTTTCTGACAAGAACTAAAAATCCGACTGTCCTGGATTTATAATACAGTACAGAAAAGATATACAACAAATGTTTCTAGTTGTCATAGTATCTATTATCTGATTAAAATTACTGTCTGAGCAAAACATATTTCTTTGTTTTTAAAAACCAAAAAAAGCAAGCAAAAACCACAAAATTTTGTGTTGCCTATTTAGGCAGGTTCCTGGAAATTACAGACAGCGCCACCCTGCCCAATGAAACTAAATGCTACAATTTTGTTGTCTTATCATTCATTTGGCAGATATCTGTTGCTGAAATTAAGTTTTATTTACTCAATACAATCTTACTGAGTTTTCTTTTCAAAACCTGGTCATTTATATTCAGTCTTTGCCAGCCAATGTTCATCTATTTAGCCATCGCCCCCACCATTTTAGGAATGGCCATGGGAGGTGGCTTCAGCAAAGCCATGCGAATTTTCAAGTTCAAATTAATTCATGAAAAATATATAAATATCAAACATGCACTAAAATATTCTCACAGAATTGCATTTATCGTCACACATCAATTAAACAATGTGTTCTCTGCAATAACCATGTTTTACTCAAATATCAGTTTCACCTGTCAGACAATGAAACCGCACCAGCATCCGCCACCAGCGTTGAAATTGGGACAGGGGACCAGACAGCGTTTGCTAGCAAACGGTAAAGTGCGCATGCGTAAATAATACGGAAGTAGCCAACTTTCAGCTCGGGTCTGTCGAGGTCACGGGACAAATAATACACAGAAAACCCGTCTATTCAGTAGCTGTCGATGCAATTGTTTCCACTATGTAGTCACTGTTATCCAGAGAGGGTAATGCATCACCGAACACGTTCCACTCCACTCGAAAACCATGTCGACATCGCTCATCAAATACGTATGGAGACTTTTTCGCCAGAAATGTTCGACAAGTCGAGTGATCGTGACATTGGTTGCGGCGATCGTGGTGCTTCAGATAGTGCATTTACTTATGCTGTCACGTGTTGGCAATACCCGAGGTAGCCGTAAAATGCCACAAAAGTCCACAGATTCAAACCGCGCAAGAAAAGCTACCAGTCTGCCGGTGAAGCTGTCGGAGGTTGGATTGGATTCAAGTGGTAACTACCAGGTCCATACCTTTCTTGTTGCCAGTGATCTTATTGAACGAGGAACGGTAATGAAAGATGATGTAACTATAGTAACGCAGTGCTCTCCAAATCATCTTCATCTTTTATTTGACCAGGCTGAAATATGGGCAGGTCCCATTTCTGTGGCCATTTTTGCGCCAAACCCCAACATTACAGCCCTATATGTTGTGATTGCCCATCTCCGACATTGCTCATTAAAAATACAAAAATTTGCATCTTTTCATCTAGTTTATCCTCTGCGGCAAATGAGCCAATCCAGGGGATTTAATAAAGAGAACTACTCCAGTAGGCCAATCGAAATAGCCATGCATTGCACCGAAGTGAAAGATTGGATTAAAAACTTTGATAATCTGGACCATGAAAACTATGTTTTGGCAGGAGATGTGCCTTATCCAAATAATCTTCTACGTAACGTGGCCTGGCAAGGCAGCGTAACAGAGTACATATTAGTATTAGACATAGACATAATTCCAAGCAGTGGATTGCTCGCATCATTTAAAAGTTTCGACAGAAGAAGGAAATCTCTCAGCCTGAGTCATTTGGAGATGGAAGAGCCACCTGAAACTGTATACGTTTTGCCTGCTTTCGAAATCAGGGAAGGTATCGATAGAATTTTTACACCCATGAAAAAAAATGAGCTCCTAACTCTCTGGAATGAAGGAGATGTTCGTCCGTTCTACGAGGAAGTTTGTTCAAAATGCCAGATCCATTCCAGTTATACGAGATGGCGAACCTTTGAGGTGAGTAATTATTGCAACTTATTACATCCTTTAAAAAAATTACAAAAGAAAAGAAAATGTATGTAACAATACATAACAATTGTAGTTCAAAGAATTATACAGTTATGTATACATAAAATAGAGATGTATTTATTGTAGTGCCATTTTTCTTCTTTTCTTATGTTGTAGGCAGCCTCAATGAAACGTATTGTTCCTTGTATAGTATGAATTAATTTTGCTTTATTGCTGAAAGCCTGAAAGTTATTTGGTGAAGAAAGCAACAAATAAAATTTCTGTCATTCATATATTATAATTTTTTCATTATCCTGTTTTTTTTAATTTTTTTACATTTATTACATCTCAGCCTAGACTGATTATTATTATAATCAGTTTGATCAGCATTTGTCTTCAAAGATAAATCAAAATGGGGCATCAACTGTGTTGACAAAAACTGAAATTACTGATCACTGAAAATACTAATCTGTAGGTTTCTTAGGTTTTTCTTTTTAGTATTCTTGTGTATTTCTTATGGCTTGAAGTGAGTATAAACAAATTTTTAAAAGCACTACAAATTATTAGTATTAATGTTTTGCTGAATGAAATGTTCCATCAAATGAATAACTGAAACTGGGATATCAAAACTTATTTCCATTGATTGTGATTTCCCTATATCGTTAAGCCTTACTTCGGAGGCTATTTTGGATTTGAAAATGGGTAAAATACCGGTACATACAATTGAGGCGCATAATTTGGGTAGCCCAATTATTTTTCCATGTTTCCTTGAATAGAAGAAATCTTAGACATTTCTTGCAAACAGCAGCAAGTGATTTCTGTAAGGTTTAGTTGTGATGAGTTTTAAGCATCTTAGGCAATAACTAGAATTCTTGATTAACGATTCAAATCTGATTTTGTTTAACAAAACTGTAATTCAATGAACTCTTACCCTCAAATTTATATGACGACTTTATATTTTACTTTCATATCACAATGTCCAAGTAAATTTAAAACATCTAATGTTTTGTACTTCCTAGGTCATTTGGTTATACACCCAAAGCAGAATTCTTAACACAATGTATGATGGTGTTCGAGGTTGTCCAGATAAAAAAATAAATCAGTCACTGAACAGCAAAATCAACAAGTATTCGATATGCATAATACATTAACGCCATAACTACGAAATTTGGTTCATGGCTCAAATTACTTCATATGTTCAATACAACTGTAAAGTTCCATTTGTTCAATCTAATATCTACTGCTATATCATATATTTGACGAAATCCCCGGATGGCCTTCAAGACTGACCAGATACAATGTGTTGTTTTGTCCTATGGGGCATGATAATAGAAAGTAAAACTGGCAAAAACAAAGAATATTTCTTTATTATAGACAATATAGAAACGAAAATGCTTTTTGATTTTAGTTGTAGTATAAAATGAAATGAACGATATATGAAAAAAAGCCTGTGTTTCAGGTCATTGTGTGTTGGCTAAATCATAGTGCATGAACCAGTTGTATTTGCAATTTTAGACAGTTTAAGACAAAATAAAATTTTGCACTAATGAATATTTATTGGTGAGTACTTCCCATTGTAATAATAAAAAACTATTATCACACTAGAAACTGACTAAATTAAGTACTAATTTTCAATTTAAAAAAATTGACATTTTAATTCTGTGAGTCTCCAATGTAATATAGTTTTCTATTATGCTAATAAGATTTAATTATTCACTGGATTTTATTTTTGCTTATTTGTCTGATAGCTAAATGTGTTAAATTAAAACGCAGTGAATATGCGAAGTAAACAATATGATGTATTATTTCCTCCACATTCCAGTAAATTTAAAACCCAGTGAATATCTCTGCATTATTGAATCCACAAAAATTAAACATATTTCCTTCTCCACAGTATATAATATGAAAAGAGAAATTCCCAATGTAATAATTAATATTAAAATAATTATATATTATTATCTATGACTTGTAGTGATATGACTCTTACGTCACTCAAAATTTCCTCAGCTGAAAAATATCTGGGAACAATATTATTATCGCATGTACAAGCCTAGTTATTGGTTTCTTTTATAAATTCTGATCAAAAATGTCTTTTCTTTCAACTTTCTCTGAGACTTTTGAAGAATGTACATTTCATGCACTGAACGCTTCTTTCGGTCTGGCGATTGGCGTCACAAATGTGCGATCTTTGACCATTCTGTGCAAATGCTGTGTAGTATTCAGAATTTGGTAAATACTGCAATCTTATTTCATTATCAGAATACATTCGACCTTTGACCCCCTGGATATAAGAGGTATCATGATTGCAGACCTCAGGTGGTACGTTCATTGCGATAATGTTCAAAATCATTAATTATTTGTATATTTCCTTCCTGAAAAAATATGCTTTACATGCTCTCACAGATTTTGTATAATTGATTTCATTCTGTTGCAAAGTCATTACCTGTTCACCTGCGTGAATCTAAGTATACTATTTAGTTTTCGATCTCGGAATATTCTTATTTATATGATGTTGATGTTGATGTTGAGAATTTTCACATGCCAGTGTTTTTATTCATGTATGTTTTATTTTTTGCTTAGTATACATCTAAAAAAGACTCAAAATCTTGCCATTCCATGATGGTTCCAATCTGAATTTACTGAAAGCCACAATCATATTTATGTTTTGTCGTATTTCCATGTCTGATGGTTCATTTCATTTATATGATTCAGAGGTTAATATACCGAGAATACTGAAAAGTTGCAACGGATGTGTCTGAATGATGGAACTCTTTGCTTTGCTATGTATTGGTTGCAAAAATATGCAAATGAGTTAAAATGGTTACTTTTTTTGTTATTTGTCACAACTCTTCAAGTGCCAAAGTACTTCATAATTGTAGTGGAATGTTATGGTTGTGTATATTTGAATAATCCGCCATTTAAAGAGACATTCTTGCACAAACAACATAAACAACAGTATCTAGAGCTATGAAATAACTATGCAAATCATGTAATAATTTTTGGTATTTTGATGTTATATTCTGCAAATAAGAAAGGTGTCTTCTCAGTCCAGAACAAAGTAAAAACAATACCAACTTCTTATATTTAGAAATTTGAACTCCATATTTGGAAATTTGAACTCCATATTTGGAAATTTGAACTCCATATTTGGAAATTTGAACTCCATATTTGGAAATTTGAACTCCATATTTGGAAATTTGTGCTGAGTGCAATATACCATAAATTATTAAACGACAGAACACCAGGTAGCAGAGTTTTCTCATCAGATTCATATTATTCAACATGGCATCAATAGAGTCAATTAGTTTTACTATGTGTCGCTGTCAATTCAGTATCTGTTTATATTTAAATTATCAAAATCTAGGGAATATTTTGTTAAAATTTTAATTTTACCAACATAATATTTTTGTATATTAATTAAAAAAAGTAATGTAAAACAAAATGAACTTTAAGTTATGCAAGAATAAGTTGGTAGGCATCAAAGTATGTTATTTGCCGAGGTAAATGTTTAGATAATTTTTCATCGATTGTTTCCATGATACCCTGATTTAATACGATATTTCCTTAAATTTTCATTTAAGATTGAGATAATGTGATGAAAGTTTCCATGGACTGAGTCATTTTACTTGTACATCACAAACCTTCCATCACAACTTACCAAAAGATCAGTTGCTGACATTACGGTAGTTTACACAGTATTAAAGTCTCCATTGGTGTTTTCTTTTGCAGTCGGAATCGCCTGATATGATGAACATTGCATATGAATTAGAATGGAAAGATCCATGGGAGCCATTTTACATCGCCAAAAGACATATTCCTAAATACGATGAAAGATTCAAACAGTACGGCTTCAACAGGATTAGTCAGGTAATTAGATCAAGTCGGTTCATTTGTTGGTTTGTCCCATCTATGTGGATCCACTTTCATTTAATGCGGATAATATAACAGAAAATATTTGTTTAAGAAAATTGCCCGGACATGCATGTGTTGTGACAACTGTTGTCAAGACTGCCGACAAACGCCTAGGCATGATCACACCCAAATGAACAGATCAGAAATTTGATGTCAGCTAAAGCATTGTCACTCAACTGAAACGCAAAATCAGTGATTGTGTCTTGCCAATCAACGGGGTAAATCACTTTGAAATAGCAACATAGTAAGCAAATTTGATTCTATGCATGACTTAAGCTAAAGCTAAAGTGCCAACAATTGTGTTATGAGAATAGACGTTGTCTTGAGTTAGTGGAAATACTGAGTAGGTAAATTAGATAAACAGACGTCTGTTATTGGATTTGCCGGAGACAGCTGAAGACCACTATGATGCATGATGTCTGAATGGCTAATAAGATTTAATTATTTGACACTGTGTCTAGAAGAGTAGAGAGCAGTCTGCAAAACTTGCAAGTCTTCAAAACTTGCATCACTTCTTACACTACGACAAATTTAATTTAAATGTATTATTCAGTATACTATTTTGATTGGGAGGGCTTAGAAATGAAATTGACCATGACCTAAAATGATGGGAAAATTCCTTTTCCTTTCCAAAAAACATTTCCAGCTTCACTTTTATTTTGGAATACCGCTTGTTTGTAAAGCTGCTACTGTTACTACTTACTAATTCTTAACTTAGTTCATATATCAGTAAAAAAACTCAATGATGAAAATACCTGCATATTAAACAAAATTATTGTGTTATTTTTATATCTATGAGTTTAAAACTTAATGAATACAGCGAAAATGTTGAAATTGTGAAATTAAAATCTATGTGAATATTATCATACATGTAGTTTATATATATCTGAGCACAAAACACTTAATACACTACTCAAGTGCAAATATTGTTTATAAATTGCATTGCTGTGCAGCATTTTTTGTCTATCAGTCTAATAGTGAAGCACAAATTCATGGTGGACGGAAATTCAGGACAATTCATTTGAGATTTTTCTGGACTTTATTTTTGTAATCGCTTTTCACCCACCAACGAACGTCTTAGTAAGCGACGATCTTATGTAAGTGCTCGCATAATGGGATATTGACTGTGCATAGGTGTGCAGTATAATATCGTCAGAAGACCAATTGATAATATTTTTTACTCAGGAAATAAAATAACAGACATTTATTCTATATTCAATCGATCTTCAAATATTCTATTAATTCCCAGCCAATATTTTCATGATTTTCATTAGCACTACAAGTTTTTACAGTATACAGTGCATAGTATTTGCATGACTCCCCACCTTTGTCTGACGTTTGATGGCGCAGTTTCACTTTGGGAGAAGTCGATAAGCCGGAAACCGTCAACTGCGGCAGGAAAAATTTACGCAAAGCTGATTTGTTATTTAATTTTTATTTATTCACAAATGTCCATTTTAGGGCAACAAAAACCAAAAACAAAAAAATTATAAATGCATTTCCCAGGCAAATGTTGGTCAAAATTTGCGCAACGTATTTTATCTTTGCTATTATTGTGTCAAGCAGAACTATTTAAGATATTGTTTGTTTGGCAACAGGTGGCATCAACCTAACATTCTTCTTGAAAAACTGTCAATTGTATAGCTGTGACACTTTCAGGTTCAAATATTCGGCTTTCAATTGAATTGTTTCCGTTTCCACTTCATGGTTTTAGGTTTGTGAAGTCCACATTGCTGGTTACAATTTTTCTGTTATGGACACAGGATTTGTTGTGCACAAGGGATTCAAGACGTCAGCTGGAATGCAAAAGCGATTCAAGGAAAACGACCAAAACCTCTTGTTATTTAGACTTTTCAAAGAAGAATTGAAAACCAAGTATGAAGAGTCCATGCGGAGGTGCTACTGAAATGAATAAAAACTAATTCCTGATAGATCTTATGATCATTTCTCATTTTAACTTTAATGTGTAGATATTTTAACAAATAATTAAAATAACATAACATTTTTAATGCGAGACAAAATATTTATATTTCAACTTTCAGCTCTTGTTATTTGTTGCACTGACATTCCTACAGACTTGTTCTGTTTCCCAAGAACGAAATATTTATAGAATTTTTAATAGATTTATCTATTTAAAACAGAACTAAAAAATACATTGTGCTGCCAGTGTCTCAAAACATTGAATTACCTACAAAAATAAGTATGGAGAGAATTTGTTTTGGGGTTGCCATTGTAAATGGTGCATTAGGGATACCCATGCCATTTAACACTGCTTTCATCATTAGGGGGGGGGGGTACTGATTATTTATTATTTACACTATGAGCAATAATACTAGCAACCTGTATGTACATTCTCCTTGAATTTTCTGACATGCTATACTTATTATGTTATGAATGAATGTTTAATAGAAAATGTGTTAATAAAACAAATAAATGATTGAAAGCAAATAATAATCCATGCAGCTTCACAACTTAGGTGTCTGGGTAGTGTTTACCGCTCCCTGCTCAGAGTGCAGAAGAGAAATGGTTAACGGCGAGATCGTTGGATGGGAATTTGTTTAGGTAATTTTAACAAACATGAAATGCAACAGGTCGTGTTTTGAAAAACATATTTCATACATTTTTACATTAGTTTCACTACGGAGCAATAGAATTGTGTAACACTACCGGTACTTCCTTGGATTATATTGGTGTACACAACTTCCTCTGGATTCATTCAAAACAGCTGATCATGAAGTATAACAATTTCAGAAAATTCCTCTCCTAACAGTGTATTATAGCTGCGACTATCTGTGCGATTACTTCATTGATTTTTATCAAAAATGTGTTCTAAAAATCATGCAGGGGTGGGTGGGTTTAGCGTGCTTGTGTTCTCTAGGTTTTCATGTTGAATAACCCCTAAAAATATCATCAGCATTGTGTAAACAAAATGTAAAACATGCTGCCAACTTATTTGCATTTGCTGAACAATTCTGATTTATTTCTTTCACAAATCATAGCTGTAAAATGTTTTTTTATTTGGGCTTTTAGAAAAATATGTATAGTATTTGTGTTTAACTTGGGGGACTGTGCTTGTTAGTATGATCTTAGAGACAGTGGGTAAAAACAGATATTATTGTTACAGTATTTCTTCTATTAGTAGCACACGCACTTAAGTAAATTTCAGAGGTGTTTTTTTATGGTCAAAATATAGTACTATTTTAATGATTGACACACAACAAATGCACTTCTGTTGGAGATAAAGCCAATATTTTAAAGTGTTCATTCTGGAAAGTGTTTCTAAAAATCCACTCAAAATCGAAATAGTTTTGTTACTGTAAAATATTGTATTTTCACTTGGAATTTAATTTTCGCTATTTTCACTGAAGAAATGATTCAGTGAAAATAAAATCCAGCGAATATACCTTTTTTCCTATATTTTACATTTAACTCGTCAAAAATCTGTTATATTTATTCAAGTGCTTATAATTCTCTGGCTGAAACAGTACCACTCATTATAGATCTTGAATTTTCAGAGTATAATGTTGCATCTTACTGCATCCACATAGAGAGAGCGAAATTAAATGTCAGAAGACAAGTCTGAAGAAAACAAATTAGACTTCAGCTCAAAAATGTAAATTTTGTAAATACATGTTACAGTAGAATTTCATTTAACAAAATTGAATTTTCACAAAAGTGACTCATTTTATCATGTACTGAATTGCAAGGTGAAATAAATCTTATTTTTGCAGAATGACTTCTTGGTTTCAGTGTTGATTCTTTGTGACAGTTTGTAAGAATGCTTTTTACGTTTATGTCACCAACGATCAGTATAATCTAAGAATGCGCGAATTGGGCTTAATTTTTATCAATTTGTCGATATGCTCCTATCAATTGTTATTGTCGTCTATATTCTGTCTGAAGCTTCTTACAAATGAACTAAATTCGGTAGTTAAGCCACGATTCATGCATGAAAAGCTATTTAATAATACAGATCGAAATTGTGCTTGCAGGGTCATCTTATAAATTGTGAAAGGAGGAACCAATGATTGCACAGGAAACGAATCACAGTCCAATCTTAATGGGAAAATGCTTTAAATCATATATTGATTTTGTGATAAGGTCCTATTTGGGTCATCGATCAGAAAATCCTATGTGCGCTACTGTGACTTGATAAGATGCTGAAATATGCTGTAATTTTCAATCGTCGTTGAAAAGATTCTGATATCGTGTGAATACGGCAACTATTGCCATGACAATATATTATTCCTTGTATCAATTACTATGGGAGTCTATACTTCTGTTAATCCCACTTGGTCATGTGATCCGTTGTTTTGGCAGTGTTTATTTCTTAACTCCACACTTATTCTTTTGTCTTTATGCAAGATTAGTAATACTCACAATAGCGAGTCTTTTTCACATGCATATCCGTAACATTCACAATTTGGTTCACACATACGTAGATTAGTAATGAATAATTTGCACATTACGAGTAGACAACTTAGACATTGGTAAAACATCAAGATTTAACATCTTAGGGATGAATGAGAGAACCCTCAACTATTGAGAAAGTTGGCTGAGCTTTGTTGAACCACAGTAGGATGCTGTAGGTTCCTACTCCCAATACATCCTTACTCTTAGAGACTTGGGTGGGATGGCTGTACAAATGAAGATGTTTAACAAATACACTTGCCATCATGCCAAGACAAAGCGCTGAATAGAGCTATTTGTGTCCCCTACCGTAATTAATGGATGCAAAGTATTGCTTGCATTCATTGCTCGTTATCAACATGGTACAGATCATTAATGAGGCTCGGCGAGGGGTATTTTCATAAGCTGTAATTGTTTTTTTCGTAATCGTGTCATTTAAATAAAAAATCAAAGAAAGCTTAGAAAGAACTCCCGTGTGCTGAGAGTATTGGAGACACATTAAAAATTAATTCAAAATTACTTGAACTTGAGATGTTGATGGAAACGCAGAAAACTAATTATGCAAATTAGGTAACTAATATGAACAGATTTAAGTGTAAAACTAATAAGGTCTGCACAATGTACCAAGTTTCATTGAAATGTGATTAGAACCAAAATAATATTAATTATTATGCTAATTAGAGAATTAATATGAACAGATTTTAACCCAAAATTAATCAGGCTGTCTATTGTCTTAGAGCACTTATGTACCAAGTTTTATTCAAATGTGATGATCAATACTTGAGATATCAGTATTAATTAATTGTATTAATTAGGTGATTAAGAAGCATAAATATTTACCAAAAACTAATGTGGTGTATAGTCCTAGGTTCATTGAAATGTGATGAGTACTCTTTAAAAGTTTCATTGAAATCCAATGAGTGGG